AGGAGTTGAGCCAATGAGGTGATTCTTATCTGAGCCCTTCCACCGATTTGCCAAATCATACATTGTCAGATATCTTCTCCTGGATGGCAGTGGTCATAATGGAGTTTTCCTCTTCCTTTCATAAAATGACAAGTGGACCTCACTCTTTAGAAAAAGAACCGCATAAGCACATGGTTTTTATAACCTTACTTGTGCTCTGAAGGAGTAACACAATGAATCAGCTGGGTTTTGACCAACACCAAGAGAAATAGGGGACTGGACATGGGAGGGAGGTCAAATCAGGTTCAAAACTCTTTCCACATTTTGACTCACATCCTCAAGTGTTGAGGCCACCAAGACAGCTCAGAGACAAGAGGCTAGTTGGCTCACACCTTCCCTTCATCTGTTAGATTTAGACTTCAGGTAAGATACCTTGAAACCTTGAGAGTTAAGCTCTCCCTTGTCAAATTCCTTAAGTTTACATAGACAGCAATATTATTAGGAAGAACCACATAAAATTGCCAGTATTTGATAGTTTCTCACCTACCAAAAAACCATGTGGTTCAACCAATAGTATAAGAGTCCTTAATCTAATTTCTGTTGACCCTAACTGGACTATGAATGGCTTTCAGAGGGTTCTCTTAGCTCCCTGAAATAGTATAATGCTTTTATACCTAAGTCTTCATGTGACTTCATTTTTTTGTGGGGAGAAAGGGCACACATGTCAACAAATTTTCTAAGAAAGTTGTAACTTTTTTGCTCACTCCAAATTAAGAACCATAGGACAGTCAAAAGAAGACAGAACTTAAAGTCAGAAAACCCAGATTCCTACCTGTCTAACATTCAGCTAGAGGAAGTTACTTAAGCTCTCAGAATCCTCCTTTCCACTTCTATAATATAACCTTTGTATCTTGGTGATATTTTGGTACAAAAATGTCAAATAGGAACAAAAAACCCAATGAGTTTAATGGAGTCTCCAGCAAAGCATGTGATCATGTTTGGCAAACTGGAAAATGCTATACAAACAGAATGTAGTGTGTGTACACTTTCTCCTGTTCAAGGGCCTTCCCTTCCTCTCTGGAATCAGGAAGTGCCATAGATGAATGAAGATGGAAAGGCACACACACACAAAATAACATCTCAGTAACTAACCAAAAGCATTTTAAAACCTCAGGGAAGATTCTTTTCAAGTTTGTGGTATGGTTTCAGGGTCTGCTGTCCAGGGACCACCACAAAGGATGACCTGGACTTTGAAATGCTTGGTTTGGGAGTCTATTAAGTGTGTCTGTACCCAGCAGGCAGATTGAAGACGCATTTCTTAAACCTAAAGAGTTCTGCACCATGGAAACATTCTTTCAGTCTTGCCCTTCACCAGTGGCCAGAAGTTAGACTGGCAGTTAATATGCAGGCTTTGGGTGGAAAGCTGAGTGTGTGGGACCAGTTTTCCACTTCTGTCAGTCAGCCAGTTTCTCTCTCTCTCTCTCTCTGTCTCTCTCAGTCTCTCCTCTGTCTCTCTCTCTCCCTCCAATCTTATATATTTTCTCTGATTCAAAGTATTCTGTGGTAGATTCACTGATCTAATTTCACTGGCAATCACTCTATCTTTAGACCATTCCTCAACCTGAGAATCAACTGTTTTCTAGAAGATGTGGACTCCTTTCTGATATCTAGCTATAGTATATCTTCTGCATAAAAGCCAGGTTCAAATTAATTTTATATTGCCTGTGAAATACATGGATGCCATCTCCTTGTTAAATAATAAAGCATTAGAGACAAAGCTAATAGACTCCTTGACGTAGCCTGTTGGACTTTTCTCTCGGTGCATGCCTGGTGCTCATTTCAGATCTGAGCAGTCACCAAGGAGATGCATCAGGTGTGCTTTGTCCTGAAGGGGATGGCTGTTCACATAATGCATCTGGCGTGGTGATGAGAGAAGTGTTGAACCTGTAGTGGCAAAGGTGGCGTCGGGATAGAACGAGCTGAGCTTCATGTTGCCTAATTTTCTGCTCCAGCCACTACCTATTTTAACATCCAGGAACATAAAATTCATTACTTATTTCATGTAAAGTAAAAATAGCCTAGACCATTGCATATATAAAGATTATATATGTATAATATACATTAATATATTATATATATTAAAATAGCTATGACTTGGCTGTGGAAAGAGCAACTTTTAAAAATACCATCTTTGTTCAAGTGAGGAATGCACTTGTACTATTCTAATTATGCTGCTAATTCTAGAAATTTCTTTGTCCGTTTGTACAGCAGAAGTAGGTTTTTAATAAATGTACATTGAATTGAATTTTCTGAAAAGTCTATTCAAAGAGTTATGTACACAAAATGTATTTTTTTATCACTCCTGTTTATAAGGTAGAGCCTCAAATATTGCCAGTTCCTGTGGAAGCAGAACCTGGGGTACTACTTGTGCCATTTTAAAGGAGCACGTGTGAAATGTTTTAGCCTATAAATTTCAGAAAAGCGCAATGCTCTATGTACCAAAACACATGGCTGTAGGTTTAATTTTTAAAAATTTATTCTTTACCCTTGTCCTCCTGTAGTGTGAACAGGGTGAAAAATAATTTCTTCTTAGAAATGAGAATTATTGAACATTAAGTCCGTACTCGATAAAAGGCACTGTCCTGTGTGCTTTCACATGGGTTCATTTAGTCTTCGTGGGAGCCACGTGAGAAGAGGTAGTTTGTCAGTTTCTCAGACGTGCGGAAGAGGAAATCCAGGCTCAGAGAGGAGAGATGGACTGTGCAGATTTACCCAGCTAGTAAAGACGGAGCTAAGCGTTAAACCCGGGGTTCTGCCTGGCCAGCCCTCCTTCAGGAATGGTGAACTCACTTGATTCCCTGTACCGTGGCTCAGATTCGTTATACGTGTACGTGCAGATTCAAACCAGTCTCTGCTTTTGAGGTTCCAACAGTTGCATGAGAGAGTTTGTATTTCCCTTGCGTTTAGTTGCTACTGTGGGGCAGACTGGGTATTTAGATGAGAATGAAGTCTGGCTGCCTCTCCTGTATCACTGTGAGAGGAAATGCTCAAGACTTGGCACCCCGTACCTTGATCAAACCCTTGTCTCTTTTTGATTTGTGTCTCCCAGCATTCCTCTGCCTGTGTCTCACCTGTGGTTTCCCTACTTAAGCCATGGCCTGGAAATCCCGGCATAACCTCTTCCCACAAATCAAGGCACAGAGACTCTGCCGCCAGGAGCAGGCTTGCAGGTTCAAAGTGATTTGGGATTCAAAGACCCTTAGAGCAAGGAGATGCAAAACGAGTTGGAAGTTTTGGGCGCGGGCCCTCGGGACGGAGAAATCCACACCGTGAGGCCTAGTAATTAGTTTCAGGTGGGTGGTGTCTTTGTTGGGACCCAGCAGAGACTGGGAAAACTGAGCTCTCCTGTTCCTCGTGGAAGCCACCCCACTCTTCGAGTCTGAGGCCTGTTGGGGTAAAGCCACCAGGTACTTGTTTGGAGTCTGTCTGTTCCTGGCTCAGGAAACAACCCAGCACTTTCTTCCAGTACTCAGGTCTCTTTTGTGGTGAATGAAAAGGAAGAGGTTGTGGGAGACCCCAGGGGACTTTGATGTCAATGGGGGCTGGAGTTGAGGGCTTTGCATTCGGCTCCTGGTTCCCTTATGGTGTGTTTCATGTCCAGCCCTCATCCAGCCTGGGACAAAGGGCCTCGTAGTGCAAGCTGTAACCTATGGGTCTGGATACTTCTTAAATTATAAAGAAATATTTATTACTTCAAAGAGGGAAAATGAAAAGGGGGGAAAAAGAGACTGTAAAAGGAGGGTGTGGCTGGTCTTTCCCTCAAAGGAGGCGAGAAAGAAGGCAGAGTTGTGCTATGCTGACCACTGAAAATCATAAAATCACCCTAATTAAGCCAGCCGTGCAAATGGACACTCTATAAACACACCACCAAGACTCAGGGAAAGTCAGTCTGCGGACAAGGAAGAATTCTCGTTAAAATGGAAAACATGTTTTACTCTCCTGCTCCCCATTTTAAGAAAAGGCCTCTACCATTAGATGTTGGACCCTGCTCTGACACTGAGGGTGGTTTTTCTTCTGGGGCTTTGTCCCTTTCAGAGCCTGATAAAAAGCTAGAGAAATACACACAGAATGTTGTAAGGTCCAGCACCAGATTCTAATCATGCAGCAAACATGCAGCGCCAGGGAAGGTCAGCAACAATTCTCAACAGAAATGAAGAGTAATGCTGAGCTACAGGAAGTACAGCAGAGGTAGACTTTACTACATCAAATAATTTCAACGTGGAAAATAAACTGTCCAGGTCCCCCCCCCACCCGCAATCTCTAAGACGTTTTCTTTTATATTAAAGGATTCCAAAGGACGAAACTTCCACGGTTTACTGTGAAGGACTGTTTCATTGTTAATTAGTCTAACCATCTAGGAATATTTCTCATAAGTAACTGAATTTTCTGGTGCCTCCCTGTTGCCTTCTTTTCCAGCCAGGGGGAAGGTGTGCTTGGGGCACCTCAGTCTCAGAAGCAGCAACCTGCAGTAGCCTCTTTCTCATGTCATAGTTCAAATGCTAAGTGACGGCGCCTGATACAAATTTGAGCGAGAGGCAGGAAGGTGGGGAAGGATAATTAGCTCTGCCGGTTCAGAACGAAGTGATAGCTTGGTGGTCATCTGGTCCACTTTTCTCACTTTGGAGATAGGGAGCTATGTGGTGGTTGGCTGTCTCCAGCAATGTTCTCTTTGATCTTTTGAAGTCATTTAAAGAAAGATTCAGATTAAAAAAAAAATCAGTGGAAGTAAAAAGTCTCAGAAAAAGGTGAGCAGCTCCATACCTGAAAGTTATCCTCTTTCCAGACAATTCAGACTTTTGGGGTGACATTGGCATCTTTCTGTGCCCACTGCATCTCATCTGTAAGGGAGAAGGGAGCTCTCTATACATGGCGCGCCAGTTGAGAAGTATAAAAAAAAGTGTGGCACGTGCCTTGATGCCCAGTGCGAATAATGGCTCATCCATATATGTTCTTATGCCTAGGTTTGTTTCAATAGACCAGGAGTGGCCACAGCAATTTTCATTTTCTTGACATCTGATGGCCTGGTACCTGGGGGACATCAGCGGTCAACAGTGACCCTCCACCTGACTGATGTCAGTGGAAACAGCCATTCTCTTGGTGAGTCTGATAATTACCCCTTTACGGGCACTAGAGGACAGTCGGATAGGCCCAGGAATCAGCGTAAGGTCTGCCTCTGATATGTCTGGGACCTTGCCTACCTCACACAGCTAGTGAGAAGAGAAAATGAATACTAGATACGTAAACTTGGTGCTACATGAATGGCTTAAAATACTGTTCATTTCCTTGTCTCTCTCCAGGAACCTATGAACTGTCATGCCAGCATAACCCACTGGTTATCAATGTAACCCATCCCTCGCATGTCCTCTCCCACCGCACCGCCTCAGCGCTGCTGAATTTCTCATCCCCGTTGGTGGGCATCTCAGCGGTGGCTCTAAGGACCTCCTCCCACATAAGTCCTCCAGCTCCCAATAGCTGCACCCCAGAGCACCAGGGGCAGAACCGTCAGGGACAGAGGTACAGAATCCCCCTTTCTTCCCTTTCCTCTTTCTTTTTCTTGTGACGTGCTGCTATCATTTTCACACATGCCGTTGTGTATATAGTGGGTGTTTGTTCAGCAGCTAAAAATGGTCTGAGAACTGCTGAAAAGATAGAAGAAGCAAGCAAAGAACGATTCGTAGGAGGCTCACTTGCGTTTCATATTTTGCTCTTCTTTCCTTAGCTGAGAATAATTTTTATGTAAATATTTATCATCTTTACAAGGTCTTCAAATCTTTTTTACATATAAAACCACTGCCTTCAAATCAACACTGTTACATAAACTGCCAAAAATCCTCTGCCAAAAACTCAATGTTCCCTAAGCGATGTATGTTTTTCCACTTGTTCCCACCTGGACAGTGTATCTAGCAAGTTTAACAATTAGTTTCTAAGACATGTCATCTAATCAGTTAAGCTTACTGTGGAAATTGGGACTACACTGGCTACGTGTGGCTTTCTGTGGACATCTGCGAATGTCATCACGTAGACAGAGCTTTGCTGGATTCTCAGCCACAGCCGGTAGAGGAACTGTATGGACTTCACAGCGATGGTGTGCCCAGGCTTGGCGCTGATGGGGCAAGGAGCAAGCCAGACACGATAATCTGTGCTGCCGTTGGGCTGGACTCATTCTATGAGTGGTTCTAATCGACTGAATGGGACTGCAGGTAACAGGGTTTGTTCCATCAAGGAGTGAGGTGTCAGGCAATTGGGATCCTAGTCACAAAATCTGGGGTTCTGGACAGTGCTCCATCACCAGGGAGGAACTCCGATGCCACCATGCCCAACCTAGGTATCCCAGAAACCCAGCCTTGATTAGGGACTAGAGGTAGAGGGGACAAGTATAGTATATTAGTTATCGTTTTCTGTATAGCAAATTATATCAAAATCTAGTGGCTTATCACGATTTCTGTTGATGAGGAATTTGGATGCAACTCAGCTGGGTGCTTCTGGCTTAAAGTCTCCTAAGAGGTTGCCATCAGCTGTTGACCAAGGCTGCAGGAGCCTCAAGGCTCAAGTGGAGCTGGAAATTCACTTCTAAGCTCATTGATGTGGCTTTTCGCAAGCCTCAGGAGATTGGCATCCAAACTCATATAGGTGCCAATCAAAGTCACAGAGGTGCTGGTGGTGGGCACACTCACATAGGCATGGCTGGGTTCCTTGCCAAGTGGCCTTCTCCATAAACTGCACGAGTGACCTTATAACATGGAGGCTAATAATCCAAGCAAGAAAGGAAGGAAGGAAGGAAGGAAGGAAGGAAGGAAGGAAGGAAGGAAGGAAGGAAGGAAAAGAAAGAAAAAGGAAGGAAGGAAGGAAGGAAGAATGAGAAAGAAAGAGAGAAAGAGAGAGAGAAAGAGAGAAAGAAAGAGAGAAAGAAAGAAAGAGAGAAAGAAAGAAAGAAAGAAAGAAAGAAAGAAAGAAAGAAAGAAAGAAAGAAAGAAAGAAAGAAAGAAAGAAAGAAAAGAAAGAAGCCAGTCTTTTTATAACATGATGTTGGAATTGACAATGCATTACTTCCGGCATATTCTGTTCATTAGAAATGAGACAATCTGTCCAGCCCATACTCAAGGGGAGGGATCTGCATCAGGACACGAATTATGAGAGACCGTCTACCACCTACAGTAATAGTATTTTTTGTTAACTGAGCACTGACTATGTGCCAGGCCTTGCAGCAAGTGCTAGGAAGGGGGAGAGTCTGGGTGATGGGCGTTGCAACATTAGCTCAGTCCATCTGCAACTTCTAAGTCTTCCTGAGCAAACATCTTCAAATATTAATGCAAGAATGTAGACTATTAAATTAACATTGTTTACTAGAAGTATTGCCTCTTTCTCGTGTGTTTTCCAATTATTTTCTCTCCTGGCTCTTACCTCTGGCCTCAAGCCATGCAGAATTTCTTTTAGGTCCCTGACACATGTGTTCTTGATGAGCCTCATATCTTTGCACATAATGTTCCTACTTTCTTGAATGCTGTCCAGTACTTCTTAACTTTCACTCACACTTTGACCATCAGGATTCACCTTCTTCTGTGAAGTTTTAGCAAACTCCCTTCTTGTTTCTATAGGACATTGCACACAACCCTACACTCTACAAAAGCAGTGGGTGGTAACTATGTATTTACTTGATTTTCTTTCCCACCAAACTCTGAGCTCCCTACAGTAGGAATTCCATTCAGTATCTCTCAGTACCGAGCAGAGGCCCTGGCACATAAGAGGTGTCAGAAACTGTACATTAAACGACAGTTACAGACTTTATCTCAAAATCCTCCTTAGACCAGAAATGAACAAGCAAACCAAAAAAGAAGTCACAGTCTCGCTAGACCTGAGGGACAACAACTCCCCTCACTGTCACAGCTGTGAAGTTCTGACAAAGAAGTTGATTAATTATGATCACCGTTGCGAGTTCTTCACTTACTTTCATTTGGCCCTGTAGGAAAAACAAGTTTTATATGCATGCATGCAAACCAGTAGAAATAGAATATGATCCTCCAGTTTACACAGAGTCTATCTGGAATGCATAAGCATTTCCAAACCACATGTGACTGACAGGAGCCGTGCAAATTGGCTTTTCCTTCTCGGCCAGCAAGTAAGTGCAATATAGTAATATGCAGGGACCCTAAGAGATCCCATATATTTTCTCTGTGAGCAGATTTAAAATCTGAGTCCCTGTGTATTCTCAAAGAATAGAAGTCTTTTTGCATCTTTGTATCAATCACAGTTGTAAATGTAGATAGACCATAATACGAAACCCTCAAATTCTGGGCATAGTGAGAGCGATTCCTGGCTACCTCCTTCTTACCCCTTATGACCTGAATTCCATTAATACTGAAATGGGCAAGGCAGAGCTGACAGATGCCTGGCAGTGGAAGATGTGTTATCCATTATGCATTTAACCATTAAGGACTGGTGGCCTGTCTTATAACACTGCATCTTTAAACCAGCCTGATTGGCCCACAGGCTTATGCCTGCAGGCCAGTAACCCTACATCTGGCTCTCCAGGGACATTCCTGATCCTTACCGTGGACCCTTTGGCTCTGATCGCTCTCTTCATCTTGTCTCCCGTTCTGCTGTGGGGGCAGCACAGCTTCTGACCCTTTGGGCTTAGTCTACTGATAATGAACCCCTTAGTCTTGAAAACCAAGTTTAGTGTTCCTGGTTTTGGTCACCGGTGCCAAATAAGAGCTTACTTCATTCTTGCTCTCTGGCTATTTCCTGACCTAGCCACGTGGAGGAAGGGTCCTGCATAACCTGCCACAGTGTCCCATGAGCTGGAGTGTCCGGCAGATCCTCAACCATCCCAAGATTGTATTGATGGCCCTGGGAAGTGGGAACCATCTTTTTGATTAATGCAGTGGGATTTCTGAATGCATCCAAGATATACTCCAGGCACTAATGGGTTAATTTGCCTTGGTGAATGGATTAGCCGGCAGATAATCAGGACTCATATCATCTGCTTTGGAAATTCGAAAGAGCAAGTCTAGGAGAATTTACTAATAGGCAAGAATTGCTGATGGGCATGTGGTTTCTCCTCCAGCAGAATTCTATTTTTTCAGTCATATGAATGCTGTAAAAACCTTGGTTGTAACTTCTCTGACCCTACCTGATGGGATATCCATCAGATGCTCCAGTGATGGATCTTCTGAAAATGGAGGACATCATCTCTTTTTCCAGGGCATGGGCTGATGACAGTGGGTGAAATTTCTGATTGCTCGTTTCTAGCATTTGTACTTCCCTTCCTACTGGTTTTTCTACCTACCTGCTCTGCGAAAGGTTGAGAATGCAGTGTGACCTTCAAGCAATCGTGCTTTTTTCAGTTTCTCCTTGTACTTCAAACAGTTCTGGTTTTGGTAATTTCATGTTACGTAATTAGGTGTGAGTGCTTGTGACTTTTACTAGGACCGTATCTCTTGCCAACCCTTTTGCCCCTTTAAATGCTTTTGGCTTTGTATTATGCTTTGTCTGGAATTAAAATTTCCATCCCTGCTTTCCTTTTGTTTGTATTTGTTTGATAAATATTTGCCTTTCTTTTAGTTTTAACCTTTCTCTATCTTCCCTGCCAATGAGCCCTGGGCACATTGCTTCACTGCACTGTTTACAAAGACAGTAGGATTTCGCTGTGTAAAACTACTCCAAGCTTTTACTCTGAACATTTGTCTTACGGTCCTGAAGCCTCTAGTTTCCTCTAGGACTCTGTAGCATCTTTACCTTTGGGACTTGTCTCCCAGGATTCAGTGGCTTTTGTCCATGATTTCCCCCTCCTCCCTACTCACTCCTACCCTACCTCACCAAGACCCTTCTACTTCCCCACCTGAAATCTTGAAATGGATGAAGAAAGTGTGCTGACAAGGACTGCTGGATAGAGAACAGGTCTGTGACCCCTGAAAAGTAGTGCCCAGTTTTCTGGTCTTTACAGGGACCTGGAAATAAAAAAGGAATGGCCCGTCTCCCTCTCTTCTTTTAGTATGGCTCTGTTCTTTATTTGCTTTTTTTTTTTTTTTTTTTACAGAAAACAAGCAAAAAGCGGGGAGGGTACAGCTCAAGTAGTAGAGTGCATGCTTAGCGTGCAGAGGTCCTGGGTTCAATCCCCAGTACCTCCTCTTAAAAAATAAAATAAATAAACCTAATTACCTCCCCCCACCAAAATAAACAAAACAAAAAGTTTAAAAAAAATTTTTTAAAAATAAGCAAAAAAAAAAAAAAGGAATGCTTTGGCTTCCAGTGATGTTTCTCGATTCAACTCCAATACATTTTGAAATCAGGAGAAAATCCTCGCAGAGTCCAGTTAGCCATTTCGGTTTGGGGATTTGAAAAGAGTTTTCATATCTTTCTGTGTTGTCAGTGTTTAGGTGGGAAGCAGGGAGAGATCACCTCAGAGTATTCTTGTGAGGTTAGCTGAGATTCTCACCTGTGGACTTTGGGGCACATTCCAACAGCAGGGGGAGCACGGCCTCTGCTGGTTTCCACACCATTGCCCATCTTTGTTT